CCCCAAAACCCCAAAACCCCAAAACCCCAAAACCCCAAAACCCCAAAACCCCTGGTTAATAAAATTATATTGATTAGAATAAATTTAAAGATAGCTATTCCTCAGAATTTTTAGTTGAGGCCAAGCTCTCTTCCTTGCGTATTAAACCTATTTCATTAGAGTGGGGTCTCTACTAAAGTTGATGATAGAGTCAACGGCTTTAATATATTGATCCTCTCACTTCTTCATATTTGGATAAGCATCTATTACTTTATAGATGTAATTTGAAGACTTCAGCAGCTTAAAGAAATCAGAAACTCCCTCAAGGTTAAAGAATTTTATGTACAGTTTTGGGGAGAACTTCTTCACTATATCTGCTTCAAAGCTTGTGCAATCTTCTTAGAAGTGGCCGATCTTTTTGGAATTAAATAATATTGAGTCATAAACACTGAAAGAAGTTGCAAATGAGCAAACTCATTGGAGCCTTTTTGAGAATGGATATTCCCAACTCAAAATTGTTCTTGATAAAACCTTTTCAAGAAATCCTCAAAAACGCTACACCCTCTCGTCATATTAGAAAAAGTGACATCAGGGAGAGTTGAAGAGAAGTCATCCCAAAGAAACCTCCTCACACTACGGATGAGAGTCTTATAAATGACATCTCTTCTGTCAGCAAATTGAGCTTTGAAGGGCTTATCACGGCTGTTTGTTTTGAGTGTCGAATCTTTATACGTAAAAGAGGCTTCATGATTTTCCGCTTGTTTATCTTCTTTACTAGCTACTAAGTCGATATCTTTATGATCAAAAGTCTTGTTTGGTGTTTCAATACCAACTTCAGCAAAAGAGGACAGTTGTAGTTCTTCTTTTGGGGTCAAATCGATCTCTGGAATAAATCCTTTGCTGAAATCCGCAATATTTCTGTTCATATTGCTCAGCAAGTTATCATCATAATCCGCAATTTTCCATGAGTCTCCCGTTGAGCCATTGTAATCTTTGTCTAAAGAAGCAATTAACAAGGTCCAAATGTCATAACTTACCTAAAACCAAGAAGGGATTTGTAGCAGCAGTCTCGTTTAAAGTCTGATTATTCTTGCAGTATAGATTTTCAGAGAAGAAATCTAAATCTGATTGAAAACTATCTGAGTCCTTAAAAATTGATTCCATCTATAAACTAAGTTCAACCATGAACAAATAGGGGCTAATTAAGGCGAGGAAAGTCCAACCTAATACTTAGTGAAATCTGAATGGTTTGAGTTCACTTACGTTTATTTTAATTTTTATAGTTAAAACTTTATTTTCTTTTATAGGTAAATTATCAACACAAATTTCGCTATTCAAAATGTACAATTAGAGTAAGCTCTATCGAACTTTAGAAAGAACTTTGGGATTAGAAATGATGAAACAAATCACTGACCTTACTGCATCCGTTTATAACCGAGAGTTATGCTTCTAAGGGTGAGGATTTTATAGTAATGCTTTCGAAGCAGAGTCATCTTTAAATATCATCAACTGCCAATTCAAAGTCTAAGGATTTCTTGCTCGACAAGATTGCTTCGCATGGCATTTGCATCCAGAAGTTAGCCCTACATGGCGAAATTTCATTCTATTCCTGAAATAAAAGTCAACCTTTTTGATTCTGATCAATATTGAAGAAATTACACAAAAGATTTTTACTACTTGGACAATCAGATTCTAATTAGAATCTGAAAAATGAAGATTATGAATGTATTTTGTTGTTACAATGTCTAAAATATCCACCAATAAACAGACATCAAGAAAACCTATAGTTGGCATCTAAAAATGTAGGCCTGTTTTTATGAATTTTAAATTAAAAATCAAATGCTCATAAAAATTTAGAGCAAACTTGATGGATCTAGGCTCTTGAGAGTATTTCCCTTTTCTTTAAAGTAAAACAAGCCAAGTGAAATGCTTGGATTTCAAAATTGTACTATAAGTACACCTTTAGAGTTTTAAAGTTCTGGTAAACTCTCTTTAATATTCCAAATAAAAATTAGCCACTAATATAGACAACTCTTGGAGAGCTTTATCATCACAAGTCATTATCTCCCTGAAAATTGGCGCTAGATCGTGATATGTGACAAAAATTATCCTTTGCATAAAAATGTTTCTGGAAAATATCAAAGAAAAAGAAGCTGGAAATAGAGATATCGATTTTTTATTGTGGAGCTTTGTTTTGGGCAATATTTATTTAAAAATTATGCTTATTTGTACATAAATTCATTGTTTGTAGGAAACCCACTTCTACAGCAATTTTGATCATGAGATATTAAGAAATTTTCTCAATTTCGATCAAATTAGAAATAGCCCCTTATTTGGGTAAGACTTTTTAACAATTCTGACAAAATCTATTCATTTTATGCTAACTGTATCTAATAAAAATATACTTAGAGGACGCTCTCACTTTGTATTATACATACAACTTTATTAAACATCTCTATCTTACTTTCGAATATTTTTACAGCACTCATCCTTAAAGTTAGATGAACATAAAATGCTTTTAGATATTGAAGCTTGATTTATTAGCTATATGTAACTGAAACTGTGAGAGGCCTCTAGAGATTAAATTTAAACCATAAATGGAACATAGCAAGTCTTAATAATTCATAGCTGTTCATGCTAATCTTGGATCTTACCATATCACTTTAAAAGTGAACTCGTTTTATTAATTTTCTCTGGATAACAAAATCTTGTTATTTTAGCCAGTAAAGATGAATAATACTTAGTACATCTCTTAGATGCTTGCTAGAGTAGTAAGCAAGCTCGATGGGCATACATCTCTTTCATATCTCTTCTGAATTTTTGGTCGGTAATCTAAATTAACTGAAAATCCATAGAATTTTAGAAGTGTCTCAGCCTATTATGAGTTAACGGGTATTCAAACAGTTAGCACTTACCAAGTATTGCCTCCTTTACATAATCTAAGGGTTCCTCTGACAACAAAGCAAGGAGAAATAGGGTGAGATAATTTGTCAGACCTTCAAATTTAATAATGCCAGTAAACTACAAAATATTCTCGTCAGTAATCATAATCTTAAATTAAGGGTGATAAATAACGAAAATGGTTCATCAGATCTTCTTACCTGAAAATTGCAAATCCTTTTTAATCGATATCCGAGGGTACTATTGGTGCTGAGGACCTATGAACACTGTGTTTATGACTATTTTGATTTACTCTAGTGAACAAGTGATCTGATAATGGAGGATGTGTCTTTCAGAAAATGAACAGAATTTAGAGGCGTTGATTCAAACTAACTGCCAAATTATCAACTCTCAATGGTTAAATCATCATGTGGGGTTTTGGGGTTTTGGGGTTTTGGGGTTTTGGGGTTTTGGGGTTTTGGGGTTTTGGGG